TTGTGCCAAGCACTGTGCTGGAGTTGGAGCACCCCTCAAGAAAAAGAAAACACAGTCGCTGCACTTTGGGGACCCACAGTTTATGTGAAGGAAGACGAGGACAGATAATCCCAACAGTGTTAACTGTCCTATTAAAAAGGTCCAGTAAAAAAAAAAAAAAAAACGTCCAGTAATAAGGGACCGATTCTCCCTGGAGGAGGTGGGGAAATACCATGAATGAGGAGACATTTGAACATTGGGAAGATAGTAGCATACACACACATAAACATATATAGATATGTACCGGCAAAACATGCAGACACACACGCATATATATACATAAACACACCACGGAGATACACAAATGTAAATGCACACCTATGCACATAAACCCACACATGCAGAAACACATGTACACATACAACAAAGGTGCATGCAGAACTCACCAAGTCAAGGGTACACAGAAGTACATTGTGGACCGTAGGCTTGGTATGCACAAAAGCAGGAGGGTATGATAGGGTCTGAGGTGTGTTCAGAGACTCAGCAAAGTCCGAGAGGCTGGAATGCGGGTCTATGAGGGGAAAGCCAGAGAGGAGACTGGCGGTCCTATGATGTCATTAACTGACATGGGATGCACAGGAGAAGCCACCTGGATGGGGTGGGGAGGCGGTGACAAAATAATGAATCTTGTTGGAGACAGGCTTTTCTCTCACCATCTATCTCTTCATCTTCCTCCCAAAGTAGCCTGGAAGAGCCCCCCACCCCCAACAAAGCCTTATCGTTTGATCTACCACATTTTCCAGAACACAAAATGGACAACTGAGCATGAAACAGGCTTATGCTCACCAGAGAGTTTCAGATGACAGCATTTGAATTTACAACCATCCTTCATTCTGGAAAAGGACTCCAAACGGGTCAATATTCAGTATGGGGCACTCTAAGTCTTCCATTTAAAATTATTAAGACACTTTGGCAAAGGGACAAGATGACATTCTAATACATGCTATAAATTCGACATATAATGGTGGACCTTAAACAAATGTTTATCAAATGAATGACTGTAATGACTCTGTGCCAGGCCCTGTGCAATATGCTGTAAGTGAAGTAGAGTCCCTGCCCTCAAGCACTTCGCAGTCGAGTGAGGAGGACAGGTGTGTAAACAAACTGTTAGAGTAGGATTGCGGTCATCTAGGAGAAGAAGCAGGCACATAATAAGAGTTCTTTATGGCTAAGGTACAAGGGGCAAGGGGACGTGTGGCTCAAGCCTATAGCAGCGACCAGGGTGCCAAACTGAAGAGTCTGATCTTTATTGGGGAGGCAACATGGAGCCACAAAAGAGCTTTAAGCTGACGAGTGACATTAGCAAGACTGCATTCTGGAACGATCACTTTGCAGCTGTGCAGGCAATAGTTTAGCTAAAGAAGACTGAGGGGAGGATGGGCTAGCAGGGAGGACATTTCAAGGTGCAGATGGTAGATGTTGACTTTCCCAACCAAGGGAGCAGCAGGAGGGGACAAAAGGGGAGGCACACCTTTAGAGCGTGTTCAGAAGGTAGGTGCGATGGAGCTTCGTGATAGATTCTGGTACAGGAGGTAAAGGGGAGCGCACATCGAGGGGCTCCCCTGGTGTCCTGTTTGGGTGATCAGGTGGTTGGAAAACCACTAACAAGAGAGGAGAGCCAAGACAAAAAGCAGTTTGAAGTGAGATGGTGAAGGGCAGGAGGAAGAAGAATGGATTCCAAATTGGACATGACACATTTGAGGAGCTGAGAGCCATGTGAATGGGGGGTCAAGAAAGCAGCCGGGTATTGAAGACATCAGGGGTAAAAACGGGGTCAGCCGGACCCACTCTGCCTGACCTTGAGCCTCAGAGTCTTCAACGGAATGATGAAGGAGCATACTCGTATGTGACCCCAGCGAGTCAGAAAGTGCATCCTTGGGGTATGAGTGGATGCCCGCAGATGAGCATTCCTTCACATCAGAGGGAGGCTCTTAGACCCACTAAACCTTTCTCGCGCTGTGCCACAGAGGAGTGTTTACAACCATATTTTTCATGAAAAAGAGCCTCCAATGTCTGTTCCCAGGCCCCCGAAACAGCTCTGAAGATAACACATTACTTGGGATACCCAAGAAATCCTCCTCCCTGATGCCAGCACTGGATTTCATACTGGCCTCCTCCGAACCCCAAACACAGTTGTTCTCAGGTGCCATTTTTTAATGAGCCCCTGAAAGGTGCTCTGTGTGGGAGTCCTTCCTCTCTGCATCCTCCAGGTAACATCCTCTAGCAAGAGGAATGGCGGGGAGGAGGGGGGGTGGGGGGTGTTGTGCCTCAGGCTGACTTCTATGGAACAACAGCCATTCACCAGCCACCTCCAGACCCCGTCCTCTCTGGACTCCAGTAGAAATAATTCACATTCTTTACTGAATTATTAAGTATCAGGCATCATAAGACACCTTCATATTTCAACAAACAGGCTAACACAATTGAATATCCATAACCAAAAAATCCACCTCAACTCCTATCAACAAACTCTTGCGTCATATACAAAAATTAACTTGAAAAGAATCATAAACCTCAAACTATAAAATTTCTAAAAGAAAACACAGAAGAAAATCTTTGTGACTTTGGGTTAGGTAAAAATTCCTTAGGTAGGATACAACAAACGGTCGCCATTTTTCTTTTTTAAGTTTACCAGCTGAACCTTGCCAAAATTTAAAAGGAGTTTTCTTCCAAAGATGTGATTAAGAAAATTAAAAGATAAGTCACAGACTGGGAGAAAATATTTGCAAAAGACATAGCTGATAAAGGAATCTCACAACTCAATAATAAGAAAACAAATAACCCAGGGGCACCTGGGTGGCTCAGTGGGTTAAAGCCTCTGCCTTCGGCTCAAGTCATGATCCCAGGGTCCTGGGATGGAGCCCCGCTTTGGGCTCTCTGCTCAGCAGGGAGCCTGCTTCCTCCTCTCTCTCTGCCTGCCTCTCTGCCTGCTTGTAATTCCTGTCAAATAAAAAAAAAAAAAACTAAAAAAAAAAAAAAAAGGAAGAAAACAAATAACCTGATTTAAAAATGGGGAAAATATGGGAAGCTACACTTCACCAAAGAAAATATATGGCAAATAAATACATTAAATATATTAAATATTAAACATATTAAAATATGTTCAATATCAGTAGTCACTAGGGAGATGGCAAGTTAAACCAAGTTAACCAAGATGAGATACCACTGCATGCCTATTCGAATGGCTATACCAAAAAGGGAGAAAGAGAAAAAAAAAAAAAGGAGAAAGATAAAGAAAGAAAAAAAAAAGGAGGGAAGAAGGAATAAGGGAGGGAACAAGGGCCTAGACACTTCTAGGTGTATACCCAAGATTAATGAAAAGGTGTTCACACAAAAATATATGCAGGAATATATACGTGAAATGGGGGTAATAATAGTGTCTATATGTTAGGGTTGTTGAGGGATGAAATGAGATGACGTATGTAGAGGCTCATAGTAAGCTTTCTAAAAATATTAGCTGCTGTTATGAGCTGAATCATGTCCCTCAAAATTCATTATTGAAGTCTGAACTCCCAGAACCTCAGAATGTGACTGTATTTAGAGACAGGGTCTTTAAAGAAGTTAAAATGAGGTCATTAGGGAGGGCCCTAATCCAGTATGGCCGGTGTCCGTACAAGAGGAGGACATTTGTACACACACAGGTCCAGAGGGAAGACCATGAGAAGACACGGGGAGAAAGCGGCCATTTGCAAACCAAGGAGAGAGGTCTCAGGAGAACCAGTCCTGCGGATACCTTCATCTCCGGACTTCTAGCCTCCAGAATTATGAAGAAATAAATACCTATTGTTTAAGCTACAGTCTGTGGCATTTTGTTACAGCAACCCTGGCAAATAAATGAAGCTGTTAAATCACCACGTAGGGAGACTGGTTTAAGTGCATTTATGATGTCATACAATGATATGCCGAGCAGCCACTGAAAACAATGCTCATGCAATTACTGATCTATAATAAAATATTATTAATGCGAGGGGACACTGGCTACATAAGAGTATGTATAGAATAAAGCTCTCATTTGTGTGTGTGTGTGTGTGTGTGTGTGTGTGTGTATAAATAAAAAAGATATGGGAAGCATGACTATCTTAGAGAAAATCTTATGGGATTTCTTTTCTTTTTGCTTATTTGACATTTCTATTTTTCTATCATGCATTACAAGAAAAAATGTAGGTGCTGGGGCATCTGGGTGGCTCATTCGGTTGTTAGCTTTTAGCTCAGGTCATGATCCCAGGGTCCTAGGATCGAGCCCCGAGTCATGCTTCTAGAATAAAGCCCCACGTCAGGCTCCCTGCTCAGCGGGGAAGTCTGCTTCTCCCTCTGCCCCTCACCTTGCTTGTGCTCTCTCTCTCACTCTCTAATAAATAAATAAATAAATAAATAAATAAATTTTGGAGCCTATCACTCTGAGGTTGGCTACAGCTGACATCACTCAACAGGGGTCCCCAGACAGGAGCTGGAGGAACACAGGAGTCCATGGGTCCCGGTCTGACTTCAGGGTAGAAGAGTGTGGGTGGGCCATCCCCTCTTTGAAAAGCCCAAATCAATCAATTCTGGAGAATTCATTTCTGGCCAGTTTCCAGCACAGATTCCAAATAGAGCCCCCCCATTCTCTCTTTCATTGCCACCAGCTCCTCCTTCCCCCATGCCTGTCTTTCTGGAAAGCCCCCAGGTTATAAACACAGTGTGCCAGGATCCAGGGGCCAGGAGCAGCCTACAGGACATTTAGATTTGCCCCTAGGATTAATGACTTTAAGAAGCGTTTGCCAGGAACTCTTCAAAGCCAAAAACAGAAGCCCTGGAGCATTAAATATAAATAAATACTTAGTTGATTGGTTTCTTCCTTGCTTTTCAAAGGGCAATTTACTTCCTGGATTACCATTACAGTAGTCTGCTCTCCGGAAACCAAGATTATTCAAGGGCCACAGCTCAGGGTTGGGGCAAAAGAAAAAAAAAAATCTAAAGATCACCTTGTTATAGATCTGCTGTGAGCTGTTTCCTTGAAGTTAGCCTGCATCTGGTAAGGCAGAAGCAAAAGTGTTATTATTGTGTGTGCCCCACCTAGGCATTTGTTGTTTCTGACAGCAGACTTGTATTTTTCTCCCTTTGAGGTGTATTAATTCTTTTGGGGGCGTTGGGTAGCAGGAAGCCCACTTTCTCTATGTTAACAAGAAAGCAGGTGTCTGTCTCTGTAGCTCAGATAGAGATTCAATTCAACATTTAATGAGCTTCTAGAATGTGCCAGAAACCATATTGAGGCCAGAGAGAATGTGACAATTTAAGACCTGGTGCCCAGGGCACCTGGGTGGCCCAGTTGGTCGGGCGGCTGCTTTCAGCTTGGGTCATGATCCCAGAACCCCATGATCGAGTCCCGTATCGGGCTCCTGGCTCCGCAGGGAGTCTGCTTCTCCCTCTGATCTCCCCCCCTCTCATGCTTTCACTCTCTCTCTCAAATAAATAAATAAAATTAAAAAAAAAAAAAAAGACCTGGTGTCCATTGTCGGAAAATATGCAATACATTGGGCAGACACAAGGCTGCGGAGATAGTTATTACAACAGCATGTGTATTTAACCAAGGCCGACACATATGCAGGTGTGTGCTTAGAGATCTGCCCCGAGGGAGAGCACCAGAGGGTCCCCAGGGCAGGAGACTGGGAGGTGAGGGGGGGGATAAAGGGGCGGAGTGCATTCTGACACCTTTGCTTGGCACCCTGCGGCAGCTTGGGGTGAAGTGGTGACTCCTGAGACAGGAGCGTGGCCATTCAATTCCGTTTCAGGAAGAGTTCTTTCATGTTCTGATACAGTCCCTCACATGATCACCTCTCCGTGGGCAGTCTTGGAGCTAACGTTAGGTCTTACGCTCCCGGAAGAATTCCCATATTCATGTTGGAAGACTCTGGGGGACTCTTTCAGTGTTCCAGACTTTGCTGACAACGTTACTGCTGCCACTGGGAAAGGCCCCGTTGCCTACCTTGTGTTTGGTATTTCTCATGGAGTTTTGCTTGACCCACATGAAAAACAGATTCCCAGAATCGCAGAAAGTCTGTGCATAATTTTAAGGTCATTTTCCTTACCCCAAAGAGTCTATGTAAACTCTGGAAAGTGATACCAGAATTATCCTAGGGGTGCCTGGGTGGCTCAGAGGGTTAAGTATCTGACTCTGGATTTGGGCTCAGGTCAGGATCTCAGGGTCATGGGATGGAGCTCTATGTTGGGCTCCAGGCTCAGTGGGGAGTCTGCTTCTCTCCCTCTGCCCCTTCCCCCCCTCAAATAAATAAATCCTTTTAAAAAACAAACAGAGAATTACAGTGTTGGTGACAGGTTCCTTTCGCAATCTAATTGGCTAGAAGAGGAGACAAATCACAAATCACAGGAATGCTCATTTGGGGGTTCCATACAAAGAAGAATTCTTGACCTTCAAGGTATTGGGAAAACTAGTCTTCACATCTCATCAACTGTTCTTCATTCTCCTTCCAGCAACCAAACACGTTCTTCTTAGAGATTTTCCATATGCTATTTCATGTACTTCATTAGAATGCCTTTTCTCCTCTTCCTGATGACCTGTCAGCCACATTTCCTTCAAAATCTGACTCTGGATGGTCACTCTTCGCAAACGCTCCAGTCAAACCCATCCATCTCCGGTCACTCCATTACTTCCATTCCTTGAAAGCTCACTAGCTCCAAATCCAGTGTAGGGAGTGATTCAGCATGCCATCGATGTGATGCACGCAGTGTAGAAAACCAAGTCCAGACGCTGAAGCCAGGATTCAAACCCATGCACCTCTAGCTGTGAAAGTAGTCAAACTTGTAGAGCGCTCAGTAGGTGCCAGGCACGGCTCAAGTGTTTCACCTGCACATCTTTGCAGTTAGAAGTCCACGAGAGATGTACTATTATTATCCCCACTTTACAGACACATAAACTGAGGCAGAGAGGATAAATACCCAAAGCCACACAGCTAATACCAGTGGAGCTATGATTTTAAAACCAGGCTGTCCAAGTTTAGCATTCGTACTCGTCACCACTGGAGACTTTGAAGGTACCACTTACCCTTACTTCTCTAAACCACAAGATTAATTTATACTCCGTTTGTTGTTTCGTGAGGCGATCAAGTCCTTTCAATACATGTTTGCTTTGATTCAAGGACAGAATCACAAACTCATCCAGTCCTTCATGCCTTGAACAGGCACAGCTGAAGGTCCACAGCTGTCCAGGCCATCTTGGGTAGATACACGTACTGTGCCTGCTGGGTTTTTTTGTTTTGTTTTGTTGTTGTTGTTGTTTTGTTTTGCTTAAGATTTTATTTATTTGAGAGAGGGTGTAAGAGAGGGAGAGAGAACACAGAGGGAGAGGGAGATGCACACTCCCCATTGAGTGGGGAGTCTGATGCGGGGCTCAATCCCTAGACCCTGGGATCATGACTTGAACCAAAGGCAGACCCTTAACTGACTGAGCCACCCAGGAGCCCCAACTGTGCCTGCTGTGTGCTGAAGGTTTACAATGCTCCTCTACACCGGGGACCTCCCATGAACTACAGTAAGAAGTGGAGTTTGATTAGCCTTAGAAACTAAGTTGTAACTGGATCTAGGCTGATGATTATAGGACAATTTACTGACTGACCAAAGTACTGGCTATTCCAAAATGGAGGGAAGTATAATCCGTTCCCTTTGGAGAATCGCTTTCTTTTTCTTGATGGATTACTTCTCCTGAAATACAATTTTCATTATGTCTGTCTAGGGAAAAAAACGAACAGGCTACATGTCTTGAGCTATGTGTAGGCAAACCTTCATGCCAGACCAGGAGCTACCCGACTTGGACACTGCCCTTAGGCAGCTTCATCTTCCATGACCCCTCCATGTGGACCATGAGTTTGTTCATTCATTCATTCAACAGATATTTACAGAGGGCTTACTTTGTGCCAGGCACATTTCTAGGCACGAGGGATATAGCAGTGAACAAAACAGATAAAGCTCTTTTATCTTCATGGAATTTATGTTGTGGTTGAAGGAGACAGATGATAATCACATAAATACTATATACAAGGTGGTGGCAAGTGGTATGAAAGTAAATGATACCAAGAGACAGTGGGGGGTGGGGATAGGTGTCAGGGAGGAAGTGGCTGTTTTGCATAGTGTCATCAGGGCTCCCTGTCTGAGAAGGTGGTATTTAAGCAGAGATCCAAAAAGGATGAGGGAGTAAGACATGTGCAGATCTGCAAGAAGGTCATTCAGGCACCACAGGTAGCAGTTTCAAAGGCCCTGAGGCAGGAGGGAAGTGTTTGGCTGGCTTGGGAATATCTAGGAAGAATGTGTGGCTTGCACAGAAGAGGCCAACAGAAATAGACCCCCTGGAGTCTTCAGGGCACTTTCCCTAGGCTCTTACTTTCACTGAGATGAAAAGACTTTAGAAGAGCCCAAGCAGAGGTGTGGACTGCCCTAGCTGGACTTACCCCAACCTCCTGCTGGTCCCCTCCTCTCACCTTCTGGGGCTTCTTAGAGCTTGTGCTCTCCTGGCCCATTCCCCCACCCACCCCCAGCCCACCAAGCTAGGGGATCAGCTCTTTATTACCCATCCAGACAGGAGCCATCATTGTTGTCTTCCTAGTTCATGTTAATCTTTGCCTTTCCTTAACCCCTAGTGGACATACCACATGGCAGTCTTTGAAAGTGCTATCATACACTTCCTTTTCTTCTTCTTCTATTTTTTTTTTTTAGTATTATTGACACATAGTATTAACACTAATTTCAGGTGGTTTCCCTCTTATGTGCATGTAACTTTCTTCCTTCCCTTGGTAGCCTGATAATATCCATATCCACATGCCCAGGCTAAACCCATCTCCAGTAGAGCTGTGATTTCAACCCAGGCTGTCCAACTTCAGCGTTCATGCTCTTTAAACGAACAGCCTTATCAGGGTTTGGTCCAGACTCCTCACCACCATCACACCCAAAGTCAGGCTTATCAACCTCTTCCTGAAATGTGCTTCCCTACTGCCCATGATCTTTATTTTGGTAAGAGGCTTCACCCAGCTGTCACCCTCTGGGTGGGAGGGCAGCCTCTGTAGCTCCACACCCACTCCGTTCCAGTCCCCATACAGCCTCTGCCCAACCCTTCCCTCCACTCTTACCTCTGCCACATTGGCCGAGGCGCTCACCCCTTCTCCTCTTGACTGTGAACCTGGCCTCCCTCCTCGGTATTGTGCTTCTCTCTAACCAATTTCCCCCTTGCTCCTCAGGTGATGTTTCTAAGAAGGCAAATCTGCCTTTATTATTCCCCTGCTCAAACCCCTCCAATGGCTCTCAGAATAAAGTTTAGATTCCTTTGTTTGGCGAACTTTATTTTTTTTTTTAAGATTTTATTTATTTATCTGACAGACAGAGATCACAAGCAGGCAGAGAGGCAAGCAATGAGAGAGAGAGAGGGGAAGCAGGCTCCCTGATGAGCAGAGAGCCCGACGCAGGACTTGATCCCAGGACCCTGAGATCATGACCTGAGCCGAAGGCAGCAGCTTAACCCACTGAGCCACCCAGGCGCCCCTGTTTGGCAAACTTTAAAAAATAAAATAAAGTCTCCAGGACCCAACAACTCTGCTTATTCAGAATTGAGATTCAGCATTTCAACAGAGTAGAACCACAGAATTAAACTAAAAAAGGAAATTATCAGGAAAAAAGACTCACAAGGGTGTTATGTTAAGGTGGAAAAAAAAAATAAGCTTAAGTGGAACAGAATAAGGAAAGGATAACTTGGTTTAATCGCCATTCCTGAAAAACAAGCACCCTAGGTTTTCTGACAACTGTACATTCAATATGTGACAACAGCATGCTGTCACCATCTGCAGAAATACCACTCCCAGGTCCTGCTCTGGGGGTCACACATTTTCAGCAGAATGTTGGCATCCTGGAGTGTCCCCGGAGGAAGATGGCTAAGCTAGTAAGATTCTGCAGACCTAGCCAGGTAGAAAAGTTCTGATTTGTTTGCCTTTCATTCGGTCCCATTGAAATGCGTCCTTGACCATTATATGC